TCTCTCTCTCTCTCTCTCTCTCTCTCTCTCTCTCTCTCTCTCTCTCTCTCTGTGTGTGTGTGTGTGTGTTTTGCAGGAGCTTTAGAAAGTACAACTGACCGGGTGAGGTGACACACTGGATGGTTCATGAAGAATAGTGAGAAGAGTGTAAGAGTGTCAGATGACTGCTAGGATTCTGGCTGGTGTCATTTACTGAGCTGAGGAATTAAAGGGAAAATAAGTTAGAGTGACAACATGGAGATAAGTGATTTAGTTGTGGACATTCAGTGTCTTGAGTGTCCTGTGGAATAAAGAGCCAAGGGTAAATGAGTGCCTGGACCATTGAAAACAGATGCAGGACTTTCAGGTTAACACCATTACACTATCACTCTGTAACCTTCACAAATCCTGTGCCCACAGAGTGATGATGCCTTCGATGATGCCTTCCCAACTGCCTCTTCCAAAAGCAGATGAAGGCCTAGAACTCCCAATGTGGAATGTGGAACTCAAGTCAACAACAGTGTTGCCATGTTGTTGTTAACAAGTATATCGTGTTCCTCACAAAACACATTTCAAGGAGAAAATAACTTTTACCCCCTTTTAAATAACAATAGCAATGGCGTTCCTGGAGAATTATATGGAAGAGGAAAAGTTGGGTATACACCAAACTTTTCATGAGATATCTAAACAACCTCACATCCCCCTTCTGTAAACGTCTGTCTTTCTGATGTTCTGGCTGAGCAGCATGCATTTTAATAGGTATTATTATCAATGTAAAAGTCAAAGTGTTTAAAAGAAAACTAATTTGAATCAGGCTTCTACGGAGGCAAGCAATCCAAAGATAGAGGGGAAGTTGAAGTGACATTACTGCTAATTTAGGTCCAACATGACAATGTGTCTTCATACCTCATACCTCAAAGATAAAATTTCATGTATGGCAGATGCCCATTCTTGTTGACAGTCTCTGCTAAGCAAATGATGGGAGCAACATGTCCATTGGCTACAGGGGTATTAATAATGATTATAAACTTTCAGGGAAGCATTTCATACACTTCCTTGGCAGAGCTCACATGGATGGGGAATTGGTAAGGACCTGGCCTCCTGGAAAGCACCCTGCTTTCAATTGTTCCATCCTTTGGAACACTTTCATGGGAAGATGATGTCTCTTGGTGAACATGACACTGCAGAATTGCTCTTTCTTTCTCTCTTTCTTTCTTTCTTTCTTTCTTTCTTTCTTTCTTTCTTTCTTTCTTTCTTTCTTTCTTTCTTTCTTTCTTTCTTTCCTTCCTTCCT